TCCAAGATCATTGTTGAACTGACAGTCCTAAAATATAAGGTTCAAGAAGTTTCGTCATGTGTGTTTCAATGGAAAGGTTTTTTGTTGTTCAGTATTATAAGGGGGTTAAAGTTGATTAGAGCGACACCGGTTAGGATCCCACGGTTCCCTCATTTCGGTACCACTATTTTCTTTTGAATTTGCTTAGTCTGAACGAGTTGTTAAGCTCATTTTCGAGGAGATCTCGTTAACAACCGTGGGTTACCTCATCCGAGGGACTCTCGTAAATTCAAGAGGACGTATTATGAAGTTTTTTTTTTGTTTTGTTGTTGTGTTTTGAAAATGTTGTTAAATTTTGAAAATAGTTTTGTAATTTTCAATTTTGAGAAGTTTTTCAAGTAAGATAAACAAATACAGATAAAAAATATGTTGTAAAGTTAATAAATAAAATTGCAGTGCATAAAATATAAATGTGTACATGTCATCTTCTGGCTAATCTCACTGCATGGTTAGCATCATAAAGCTGAATATATTTCCAAGAATTAAATAAATTGCAGAGAAGTAAACGGAAGCATCCGATACAGAAAAGTCGGAAACTGAGTCGTAGCAAAACCTGAGTAAAAAGAAAGCACGTATTCGCATATGGAAAACCAGAACTGGGTGTAAGATATGGGTAAAGGTGGGGGCTTGGAGCTAGACTATGTGCTTCCCGATCTTAAGTAAGTGCTATCTACGTGATCATCCACGGAGGGCAGTCCTAACCTCGATCCAAGTGATTAACCACAAGTGATTAACCATGAACCTTTACCTTTACAAATTTTCATTTGAATTTAATTTTCATACATACACAATTTATCATGCAAAATAGACTTTTGTTTAAAATATTTTGTAGAGAGGTGTTGTCCACATGTTAATCAATCTAATCGAGTTAGAACTACATGCAACCTAAGATTATTGGGGGAAATTATCTTCTCAAGATCGTAAAATAGTATCACCGGTCCTTATCCTCTTCTTTTATTAAAGGTCATTGAGGTAAGATATACTATTCTAAAATCCCACATAGTATCCCTTGTTTTAGTATACATAAGCATTATCATCATTGCCCTAGCCACCTAGACCTCAAACTTGCATAAGCCCGATGATCCATATATGACAAAAACAAATATCCTCACTTGCTCACAAGGATTTAAATACTTTAGAAAAGAATTAAATCCTTGAGCATTGGGCTATTAATGTAGGATAAGTAATTTATGATATTTCTATTGGTTTGTGTGAATTATCGGGTCCTGAACCATAACTTGGCGGGTCCTTAGGGGTTCGTCTGATTTTTAATGATCGTTTGTGTTTTCAGGATGATTTTCTTCAACAAATCATGGCAAACCCTCATGTCCTTTGAAATATATGGAATCTCCCAAGGATGTCCAGAGAATTATTCTAAACAAGCTTGGAATTTTTTAGATCATTTTAAGTTCATTTTGGACTAGATAGATTATTAATTAAACCATTTGAATTGAATTAATGTCTTTTAAGTTAGGCTGAGTATATCCTAATTAACCCATAAGTAGGCTAGCAACTATTTTGTTTGGTGCTTAAATGGTTGATTGTCCCAAGAGTGAGTTTAATTACTTAAAGAGAATTTTACTCTCTTAATTGAACTTGAGCCTATAGTGTTTATGAAAAATTATGTTCTTCCTTTTCTAGTCCTTTTAAATAGTTTCAGATCGATCTTAGCTCATTACCAAGCTCCTAGATCATTAAGGATAGATTTGTAATTTAAGTTAAATGATATTAGTCCTTATTAAACATTATATCAAGTTTAACCATTAATCTGCGGCTTCAAGTTAATTAATTGTTGTCTTCCTTTCTCAAGCCCCTTACTTGAGAATCTTCAATACTTAATCATCTTCCAACCCTCAATAATTGAAGTAATTACACTTTTACCATTTTTTAAATAAAATATCATGAGTTGGTTTCTATTCTTTAACCCTTTGTGTTTCAGTCGTCTTAGAGAGTCAATTACGATCAATATTACCCTTTAACCCTTTGGTTTGGCCTAAAATTTTATTGGGGTTCAAAATTCCATAATTACCATTTTACCCTTGGGGCCTTTAACTTCTGCATTCCTTTAATTCAATCCAAATGACCATAAAAAAAAATTACTGAATTGCTATAAATTTTTGTTGAATTGCTACTCATGTGTTAATTAAAATACCAGAGAAGAGTTTGTATTTTTTAAGTTTTTTATTTTATTTTCTGGAATTATTTTAGTTCAAAAATAGGAATTTTCAACGTTAATTCATTTAATTAACTAAAAAAAATATTTTTAATTTTTAGTTCACATTACTCCTTTATGCTGAGCACGGGGGTATATTTATTTTATTTTTAACCTTTTTCTACACCAAATTATGAATTTTTAAACTTTTTGTAATTATTTAAATAAGAAATACTCCTTAATTTCCTACTTATCCACGTCAACGCCGCGTCAACCTAGTCATTTCCGAAGTCTAAGTTGTTTTGCACCTAACAAGTCTAAATTTTTGGACGTGTTTGAACGACATACGAGAATACCGTCAAAGTTTAGATATTAGACATGTAAATCCATAAAAATTGTAGCGTGCATGTAAATAGAAAAAAAATAAATATCTTTCATGTGAATACCTAGGAGTGTTGACATGCGAATACATAAGGTTTAAATAGCTAGCATGAAAATGTGTTAAATTTGAGTAGCTAGCATTTGCATCCATGAGGCTCAAACATGTAGGCATACAAGGAAATGAGACTTGAATGGTAAACATGTAAATACAAGAGTAGAGTGGTGTAAATAAGTACAAGCAAGGTGATAAACATGTATATACATAAGAATTAAGCGATAATCATGTGAATAAACAAGAATTAATCAACTTGCATGTAAATATCGAAGTTTGGATTTTAAACATGTAAATATGTAGGATTTGCATGGTATGTATGAAAATGCATTAAAAAAAATGCAGCATAAATATAAATATCAACGTTTGGTTTTATTTCATTTTTAGTTTAAATATATAAGGATAAGGTAGCATGCATGTGACTTACCTTTTTCTTTTTAGCAAAGATTTAGGTGTTAGATTTGTAAACCCGCAAAAATTGGGTGGTATGCACATAAATTTTTTTTTTGTGTTGGGTATGTAAATGCTTAAGATTTAGGTGGTATGCATGTAATAAAAATAAAGAAGAGAGGAAGAGAAGGACTTATCTTCGTTGGAGAGGGGGAGCTGCTCACGGTGAGGAAGGAAGAGAGTGGGAAGAGGAGCTTTTATTGGTTTTTTTTTTATATATTTCAGAGACGTGGGAGGCTTGGTTGGAGAGGAAGTGGAGGGGTTTTGATTTTTGTTTTAGAAGAGGAGCCACGGTTGGCATGAGTTGAGGGAGAGGGAGAGGGAGAGGCAGAGGGTGGGAGATATGAAAATTTCTTTATTCCCAAGAGAGAGAGAGAGAGAGAGAGAGAGAGAGAGAGAGAGAGAGAGAGATGAAAATTTCTTTATTGCCATGCGTGAGATGAGATATAGAGGAGATATGAAAATTTCTTTATTCCAATTATTATTATTATTATTATCTTTTCCGCATTTTTTTGCCCGGACATTGCCTCGGGATGGAATGAACATCCCCTAAGGTAAAATTGACGTTTTGGACGCGATTGCGCAGTCCGTTTCATCATCCTGGGTCGTTTCAAATCACTTATTCAGCGATCAGACAAAAAAATGATAATTCACACATTTTTAACCTGCCCGTGAAGTCGTGGCGAAACGAACATCCTCTCTTGGTGAAATCGACGTTCCGGACGCACTCGCGTGATTTGTTTCGTCGTTCGGGATCACTTGAACAACCTTATCGATGATCGGGTAAAAAATAAGTCAAATTTAATTTTTGCCAAAATTTTGGATCGTGATGGACCGTTTAAAAATTTTATTTTAGTTTTAATTAATTATGCAAAATATAAAAGCGTATGTGATGTGAATTGCAATACTTAACATGTCGACCGTCCGAATCGTGATATTCGTGTACGAAAGTCATAATTGGTTTTCTTGAGGCTTTTAAGCCCTATGGGAACTCATCCTTGAATCCTCACAAGTTGGTCCTAACCTTCCAAGTGCTGGAGGTTTATGACCGGTCACATAAGATTTCGAAGAGAGCTAAGAAACAATTTGATTTTCTTTGTAGGCGGTTTCATCTCTAGTCTTCTAAGATAGTCAAGGAAAAGTCCTATGGCTAGATCCTAAGCATTAAAACGAAATAAAGACCTCACCGAAAATGAGGACAACAGAAATATGTGAATGGATAACAAAGACCTTGCCAGAGGAAATATGAGGAGAGAAGATCTTGCCAGAAACATTAAACTTCATGGTTGAGAGTAATAAATGGGCGATAACTCAATATAATAACTGCTTTACTCTGACTCTATGTCTTATGTTTGAGCACAAATTGAAATGAATAAAGAAAATTCACTAAAAAAAGGTGTTTATGACCTTTAGATTATCATGACTATTCAAAAATCTCAGAGTCTCAGTGCTAGTGTAGTAAGTTAATTCATTTATCAACAAATTATGACTAATGACTGAGGGCTTTCATAATAGCATAAAACTTCTTATCAAATGTAGAGTATTTACACTTGTGATCATCCAATTATTCATTGAAGAAAGCAATGAGGTGCCCTTCTTAATTTAACTCGTCTTAAATCTAAAGTTACACGTACTGATCTAGGACTGGATAATAAAGATCTTAACTGAGGAATTAGGTGCTCTAAATGTAAACATTTATGTAAATATTCCTATTTTTTTTAAATTCAAGCTGTGTTAATCCTTCACAGCATATCAACATATAAATTTAACAACAAAAGTAAAATACAAAATATGGAAAAAAAAATTTATACACATACCAAACAATTCTTATGTACTTTCATATATAATGTCTAAAATTTAACATTTATATTCACTACAAATCCATATCCTTGGAAAGTGACAACTTAACTTTCAAGGAAAGTGACAACTTAGAAGAAGATTAATTTACTTTAACCAAAGTTTAAAAATAAGAAAAGGAAAATAAAAATTTTCAAGATTCTTGTTCACTTTTTGTGTCTGAAACAGTTTCTAGAGATGGATTTTTCTGTACCTTTAGAACATCAGCAGCGCTAGATGAATCAAATTTCACATTTCTCGAGTCTGGATTCTCCATCTTCTCCTCACAACCTACATTTGAGTTTATATCAGCCTTTTCTTCCATATGAGAGGATTTGAAGCCTTCTTGAGAAGGCCCGGGAAGCTTTGACACAGGAATTTCAGAGATTTGATGGCTTAGGGTTGGGGTAGGTGCATCAGGCACCAATGGCGTTACCAGTTCATGAGGAGCCACTAAACCAAGCTTTGAAGGAGATGGTGATGACGTTGCTGTTGATTGAAGTCCCAGACCACCATGTGGAGAGGAAGGAGAGTTAAGATTCAAGTTCAAGGATTGAAGGGTAAAGAGAGCTTCCTTTCTGGTGAGAGATGGCGAAGAGGCCATCAATGGTGGTGCAGGAAGAAAGGAGGATGCAATAAGTGTAGGTTTTGCAGGAACAGAGTCCTGTGAAAATGGAGGTACAGAGGGGACTGTGCATGGAATTGATAGTGCTGTGGAGGAGGAAGATGATGATTGAAACAGTGTTGGCATTGGATCAATGGAGAATGGAAACAATGGTGGTATGGGATGAATGGAAGGAGGCAAGAATGGCGGAAATGATGAAACTGTGGATTGAGAAAATACAGGAGGAATGGAGGAATGAGCCGGAAAGCAGCATCTCATTAATGGTAATTCTGGAGGAACAGAACAAGCCATTGAATGAGGTTCTGGGAATTGATCCTGAAACAGAAATAGAACAAGAAGCATCAGGAATTGCTTGCTGAAGCCGATCTAACTTCCTTCTCTCTCTCAAATCCTTTCTAGGATCTTTAGGTTGCAGAGGTGGAGGTCCTAGTGCCACAAATGGCGGAATCATTGATTTGTCTTCCCCATAAAGAAGATGAACAGAATGCATTATGGCTGAAACAGATGGTGGCAAAACTGATTCAGGGTGGTTTGATGGAACACTGACCGCTTCTTGAAGCCAATGAGGAAGCTTGTTAGCTTTTGAACTGTTGGGAATGCTATCATTGCACGGAAATTGATTAAACTCCATCTTTCTATTGGCATAAAATGGCATACAAAAGCTGGGTTCAATAGAAGGAATATTCTGTGCCCCAGGGAGTAAATTTGTTGATTTGTCTCGTGAAATTGGCAATTTCATGGTTTTTGTAGCAGCCAACAAGCCATCTTTGTTTAGAGGTAGACCATGGTAACTTCTTGAAATCCTCCCTGGGGCTCCAAATTGAGGTACAAACTGATTTGAAGGCAATATGGTCTTCTCAAGTCTATTTAACATATCCACCAACAAATTTTCGAAAAAAGAGGATCCAAACCTGTCGGCTAGCTCAAACGGAAGCGGAGGAAGGCCTCCCTTAACTGCCCCCGGTTGACTAGATTGTTCGAGGCAATGGATCTTTGGCAATAAATCCTCACAAGCCAATTTAATATCTGTAAGGTGAGAGTGAGATCCAGGTGGATCTTGCCCAGTACCAGAAAACTTGCCATCATGCAGTGTCTGTGCCGTCATAGCATCAGAAAGACAGGAAGAAAGATTGGAGTTTTGGGGAAAAGGTGCGGGAAAATCAAGTATCTTGCGTTGCTCCATGCTCCACCTAGATGACAATTCTTCAATTGATTTATTCTTTAAAACCTTAAATTTGGGATCTCTGAGCATAGCATCCCAGTTACCTCTGCCATGCCTACGAACTGCAATCCACAAGGCATCGAGTTCATCTTCTGACCAAGCATCAACCTTTAGTCTCTTCCAAAACTTGTGTGCAGCTGTACGAGTTCTCATGATTATGTTGTCAAGAACCTTCTTGTGATTTTCAGGTAATTTGGGTGAATTATGCAAAGTTCCAAGACCCAGCGCTGGAGAAAAATCTGGCAGCTGCAGTTTTTGTTTCAGTTTGTTATCCAAGTCATGTCCGAAATTTGGCACAGGTGGTAAAGTTGATAAGTTTGGATTACAACTGTTAGGAAGTTCCATTTTTGCGCTCAACAAAAGTGTTGGTAAGAAGTCTGTTTGTTGTTTCCATGAAGTACTATGTGGAAAGGCAAACTTAACTGGAAACTTATCATCAAAATTTAATTTTGGTAGACCAAGCTTTTGATGAGATAAAGAGAATGATGTATCGAAACTTTCACCCAAATCTGAAAGTCCCCTTCCTAAAGTTGGGCGGTGGAGGCTGCAAATGAAGCACCATCTTATCAAACTTAAATTTAAGATTTTGTTAAATGGTGAATGGCAACAAAAATAGTCAAAACAAATGGAAGGAATGGAGTAATTCGGAACAACAATTTTAAGGAAATGTAAATGCATACAGGACCAAAGGGAAAGTATTTGTCTGGAATGATATTCTTTAAACGCGAATTCATCGCGTCTGTAAGTGTGTTTCACAAGTTTGATGGATCAGCAGGAGCTTTGCCATTGCTAGTGTCAGTGAAAGGTCCTGCACGGACAACTGATGGTGCTGATAGAAACTCTGGCAAGCCAACGGCAGTCCTTTTTTCACGGCGGGAAACTTTTTTACTAACCGGAGTTCTAATGTTTGACATGCTGAATGTCTCTGAACAGCATTAGGGGCGCACAGCCCAAGAACAGGTAAAAGAGAAATAGAAGGCACGGAAGGTTCCAAACCTGTTTTCTCCAAGTCTTTGCTCGGTGAAATTACTTCAGAGAGATTTTCAGGATTACTAACTGGAAGACCAGGATAACTGCTATGACCTCTTTTGTGCCCATTCTTTGCGACCCCTCCATTTTTAACCATAGAATCAAATGGCTGAGAACATTTGACCTCCTCAGGTTTGACCGTGAGATTTAGCTCATGTGCATCTTCCTCATTTTTGTTGTTGATATCTCCATTTAGCATTCTTTCGTCACAGGGATTAATAAACTGCATAGAAGATTCAGATCTCTCAACAGAAGAATGAATCCCAGCTATCTGCCTTCGAGCAATCCGTTCTTTCTGTCTTGCACGAAGCTTCGCACTGTCGTGAGAGAATATTTAGCCACTTATAAAGACTAAATGACTAATTAACTGGAGCAAAGAGCATTACACTCACAATTTTTCTTTCAGAGCTTGGCCAGCAGGTGTATATTCTTGCCTTGGCTCTTCTTCATTGTCACTCTACAATAATGAATAATTTCATACAGCAGACGATTAAAAATAATTAGCTAAATGCATTATCAGAATTTTGGAGAGAAAAAAAAGAAATCATGCATAAAGGACATCAGAGAATATACGGGCTCCAGCTATAACTATAATATATCAGTGTTATTTTACAGTAAACTATCCACTCAAAAGGTTCTAGCCATAATCGTTACTTTTTATTGTACAATTTTATAGCAAAATCATGCATAAAAGACATAAGTCACTTCCTTACAAGTATGAGATATTTTGTCAGAATGACTATAAAGATGCACATGATATGATATTAAATCCTGTGAGCTTAGGTTGATCTTAAATTTATAATCACCGATAAAACTATTACAAAGGAGGATAAATTTTTCTTTAAGCTTTAGAAGAAAAAAATTCACTTCAGCATCTAAATTTTATAATATTTCATGAAAATTTTAGAATCTTAAAATTTGGAAGCATTTTAAATGAAGAATCCCCTCCATTGAGCTTTTATGACAACAAAGTCATCATTAGGAATAAAAACTGTTTGTATCATTTAGATTTGTAAATTTAAAAATTTGATTTAAGAAGTCACCCCCTCTGATTGTGATGTGCATTGAATATGCCCATTATACCATTTAAATTTACAAAATTAAACTTTAATTTTAGAAGTAACCCCTTCGGTTATAAAAAGCAATAAACATGCCGATTATTAAGGTCAAAACTATTTTAATTATTCACGTGCAATTAGATCAAAATTTGCTACTAAAATCCTATCAAATCACCAGTCTCATCAACTCCAGTAGTTTCAAGAAGAATCGGACCGGCCAAGTGGGCCATGATCTCATCAACTCAAATTCTTGTAGAAAAAATGATCTCATGAAACTCAAATCCTTATAGAAAATATGATCGGACATAATATAGAACTTGCAACCTTGACCTATAGACAAGAAGCCTTGTTCAAGAGAGTGCATAACTTAATAGCTTTAAGTTTAACTTTGAGAAAAAGTAAAGCTTCCAAAGTTCAAAATACTTGCATGTTTTTCAAGGTAAATTAAATTATAATTTAAATTTATCTTTAGCCTATGCAGCAATTTTAACCATAGGTGCAAGTGTCAACATATTGGACAGAGCACATGTATGTGTTTAATATTTGATAATGTGCACATTTTTTGATATGATTGCACAACTTCTAGGTTTTTTCATGAATTTCAACATGTTACAATTAAGTTGAAAGAAGCTTAAATAATTCATATAAGATGTATCCCCAAAAAAAAAAAGGCCAAAAAAAAAAAGGCATCATATCATATATATATATATATATTTTTCATGATAAGACATCTACTTTTAACAAATCAAAAATAAGATAACTAACAAAATCATACCATGACACATTTTGATCACTCAAAATAAAAACATCTTCCCCAGGAAAAAATTTATTATTTTATTTTTCAATTTTTTTTTCATTTTCTATCATGAATAAATGATTTGAAACTTAATTTTCTGATCCTTATTTCTAATATTCAAATAATTTTTTTGTAAAAAAATAATTCATCTAATAAGCCTTAACTTTGCATCCTTCTTAGTTACAAGATATTTGAATTTAGTATGAACATGTTGGCTATTAAAATTGAATTAAAAAAAAAAAAACTACATTAAAAACCCTATCAATTCCCGTAAATCCCTACTTCTCCCATCGTTTCCATCCCTAACAAAAGAAATTACCACACCAGCCTCTTTCCTCCCGACCAAAGCATCGATTTTGCATTCCTCTCCGGCTCTCTATGCTCAAACGCATCCCAACCTCGCTCCCTTCTTGTGTTCACATGAAGCAGAAGACACAGCCTTCTCCTTTTGTTTGTGTGGAGCACAGGACGCTCTCTCTTCCCAACAGCACACGCTTTGTCACACCTGATCCAGCCGCCTATCTTCCCCTCCTCTTCCTGTTCAAAGGGCTGGCGAAATCGCCCTCGCCACTTTCTGCTTCATGCAGGACAACCACGCCTTCACCACTCTTGTCCGAACCAATTCTCTCGCTGTTTATATTCTTTCTCTTTCCTATCTCCCACGCACAAGGCGAAGGCTAATGGTAATGCAGCCTTTTCCGCTAATCATTTTGAAGAAGCAATTTGCTATTGCTCCCGCAAACCATGCCTTCCTTGCATTTGCCTCCCTGACCCGCTATGCTGAGGCACGTTTTGATGACCATAAAAACCTTGAGACAAGGCTTGAGTGGTCGAAAGAGCACAATCGTCTTGGTGCCCCTCATATTAGTCCCAGAAACCAGCAACTGCTCCATTCAGGAATATATTTCAGGGCTCTGAGGTTTGGGTGAAGTTGATGGCTGATCTATCTACAAGGGCATATATACAGTAGCCAGATTTTTGTCAAGAAGCTCCAGGAGGTTCAAAGGTTCAGAAGAACCATAATAACCTCAATTTATATTTTCAGGATCAGAAGATATGCAAACGTTTGGGGTTCGCTTAATGTGAAGATGTGGGATCCTCACTAATAGGGTTGGTTTATTTGGAAATGAGGAAGCATGAAGCTTGTATAGCTAACTTCAACAAAGCTGTCAAGATGGCCGTAAAATTCATTCTGACTTCAAGATGATTGCAAAGAGATTGACTGGGAAAGGATTTGCACTTGTTAAATTAGCGAAGTGTTCCAAAGTTTATGAATCTGCTATTAAAACCTTCCAAAAAGCCTTGACTGAGCATCGCAATCCTGATAACTTGAAAAAGTTAAATGATGCATAAGGCTAAGAAAGATGCTGCATAACAAGAATATTATGACCCAAAATTAGCGGATGTGGAGCAAAAAAAAGTTTCATTGCTGTCTTCATTGCCACCATCATCACAGCATCACTCTCAAAGATAAATGGAGGGACATTGTGCGCATTATTTTCATGTAGGTTAATCTAAGGCCCATATTAGTCTCATAGACGGTTGTGATTGAAAGACGCCTGCGACAGCAGTGTTTCATGACACTAACCAATGCGGCTTATAGATAGTTGGAAAGGCCAGTGATCCCGATGCAGCCCCCCAAACAGGAACGACCCCAAAAGTCTACCAAAATATGGGATGACTTGGGCTTGGAAATGATTTTAAACTGTGAACTATTGCAAATGATATTAAAAATTGAATTATTTGGACTTTCAAAGGATATGAAAATAAAAATAAAAATAAATATAAGCTATGAATTGGAAGTCAAAATAATCATTCATAATCTAATTTAAATCCTTCAAAAGAATAAAATTATGCATATAGGTTATACGAAGGCTTATGAATAATTGGTGCTGAGAAAATTAGGGCGAAGAAAAACAGTAATTGACATAAATCCAGAAGAACACAGAGATTTAACGAGGTTCGGCAAAGATGCCTACGTCCTCGGGAGCAGAGCGGCGTATTCATTTCAATATTCAGAAAATATGTTACAGAATAGAGGGATCCCTCCTGAGGTTACTAACAGACCTATTTATAACCTCATGAGTAAACCCTATGTACAATATGTAATTACAGCATTACCCCTTACCGTACCACGGGGCTTTGCCCCCGCACCCCCCCACGTAACTCCCAATTTGGACAGATTCTTCCGCTCCGCTTCGATCCAGCGTATGTCCCTATATGGTATATAAGTCATACCATAACAATTGGCTAGCACGCCATTTACTGTGATTGCACTTCTATTTAACTTCAAATTTGATCATATTATATAATAATCAAATAAAAATCTGTACTAGTGCAAATGCAATGCGATCCATTTAAATACATAAATTGAAGCTAATTAACCACAAAAATGTCATTTTTAAATGTTCAAAAAAAACTTCATATCTCTTAGCCAACGAATCTGCAACTCCAATTCACAAAGAGACAAAAAGTGACTTTTAAAGCTCAAAATGAAACTTTGAATGCATTTCAAAGTTTTAACAGTCACATGGAATTTCAAGAGATTTGAGTGATTTCATGATTTACAAAGCATAAAGGCTTGGATATAAGCACCTTAAGATTTCTGCAAATGGTTTAGGATTCATACAAATAGTTGTTTAAGTAATTTCAGACTATGTGCATGCATATCAACAATGAAAATGTCATTTTTAAATGTTCAACAAGATCTTCATATCTCTTCGCCACCGTATTTGCAACTCCAATACTCTTTTAAAACTCAAAATGAAACTTTGAATGCAATTCAAAGTTTTAATATTCACGTGAAATTTGAGTGATTCCATGAATTACAAAGTATAAAGACTTGAATATAAGCACCTTAAGATTTGTGCAAATGCTTTATGATTCATACAATTAGTTGTTTAAGTACTTTCAAACAATGTACATGCATATCAACAATAAAAATTTTATGTGATTAATTGAGATTTGAATGATTATAAGTATCACACTTAAACTTTTGAGATATTTTTTCAAACTTCAATGTGTTATCTCGAAAGATCTACAAATAATCTTATGTGTGACAATATTGATGTAAAATGTCGAATTTGGATATGATAAAAAATATACGCGTAACTTCAAAATGCATGTGGTCTACCAAATTGAACAAGTGTTTAAATTTAAATGATCTGATAATGCAGCTTGGGTCAAAATTAAACTTGCACTAAAAAAGTTTTTGCATTGATAAGCGTGCAAAATTCTTTTAAGAAAATCAATGACTATTTTAAAGTTAAGACCGCTCATGTTCTAAGAAAATAAAATCCAAGACAATCAAACCATGCATGCAATCAATCAAGTCACATTCTTTATAGAGCAATGTTGTAAGCCCCATTAAATTAATCTGATCCTCATCATCTTAAGGACTAAAGTCAACAAAGTCTAGTATTTTCAATAATGTCCAAATAACAAACATAAAATTTGGAATTCTAAAACACCTAATCCGATCCTCCTCATTAAGCCTAGAGTTGACAATATTAATATTTAAAATATCTTAAGTTGTCAAATAAATGACAAATATGTGTTTTAAATGTCCAAATCATCGATGATAGCCGTGTTGACTGAAAATAT